TTCATCTGGAGCAGATGTAGGTTCCCAACTATATTTTTGTTGAATTAACCAGAACATAAAGCACAGGAGTTTATTCCAGCTGCAGAAAGACAGATGATACTTGATCCAGCATATAGTTGGAGTGACAGAGAGGTGATCCCTAATCCAGCATAAAACTTGCTTGCAGAAGGTTAACCTATTATGTTTTTAAAAGCCAATTGGAGTTGGGAGAGCGAGTTTAAATCAGATCAGTCCTTTGCATCATTGCTGCAATATAGATCCTGCATTACAGGTGGATTTACTGCAGGGTCAAACCATGACCTGATAGATCTGGTTTGAAAGCTCAATGTGAGTTAAGTTAAAAAAAGAAAAATTGGGAAGGGTAAATTTAATGTCACAAATGACTTTTGCGGTTTTAATGAACCAAAATATTTGTCATTGGGAAAAGCGTTGTTCCTGACCCACGAGAAACGGATCTTTTTACGTAGACAGTGCTTGTACCTCCAACAGGTTCCCATGGTTGGAGAAAACCGTATCCCCCAGAGAGGCCCTGTGGCTGAGTGTGTATGTACACTTTCATTTTTGGCAGACATCTTTGAAGCAGGCAAAAAATTAATTCTGCTGTCAAACATCGATAATTCGGGGGCAGGTGATCAGCACACAATTAATCCACTTTATCATGGAAAGCCTTGTGCCAACAATTGATAAGACAGCCACCACGTGTGAGTATTGGCAATTAGTAAATCAGCAGGACGTCCATCAGAGTGCTCCAGTGGCAGACCTCAAAGAACTGAAGAAACAGGAGGCGATGTGACTGCAACAGAGTGATTTATGCGTGAAAGTGAATCCTGTATTTTCTCCCTACCTTTTCTGAATACCAGGCAAGGTCAGGGCAGGATAAAAGCGGCTTTGTTATACACCAGTAACCTAAGCAGCAAAATGTTAGGAATTATTGAGCAAATGGGAGGTGGAGCATATTGTACTATTTGAACAGAGGGATAAGAGAATGGTTTATGCTCCTGGAACAGCCTCTCAGTATTTTACGACATCTGACAAGTAATTTTGTTTGTCTCTTTCTTTTCCCCTCAATAAAATACTTTTAATTGATTAGTCTTACCAAAAGTCTCGAAGATCATCAAATGGCAAGAAACAGAGGAATAAAAGATGTTATTCTTTACCTCTGTGGGTGAGTGCAGACTCTTCGGGCAGATATTTGCCAGTTTGCTGGGAGATGAACACCCAGCGATGCGCGGAGATGGCAGCTGGGTTCTGCGGATTCACACCTTCGTTCAGTGGTGAAAACTTGTAGCTGAGGTCCAGGGCAGACGGCGAAGGAAAAGTACCTCCCTCGGTGTGATTCGGTGGAGTTGATTTGCAAATGCCCTCGCAGGGTCGAGCAGGTGCAGAATAAGCTCTGATTTTTCAAAATCACTTAGTGGATTTCAGTATCCGGTTGACGTTAATAACAATTAATGGCCTGTGCACACATATCTTCTTAATAGCTTTGAAAAAATTAGGATCGGTGTAGCAGTGTATTTCAAAACACTTGTAGGAAAAATATATTTGCATAAAGAACTTTGCAGTATAGGGAGAAAATCCAAAATCTATAGCAAAAGCATGGTGTAATTCAGACTTAAGTGTTTTCAATTTGCTAATGTATGTATAGTGAAGGAGAATTGCAACACTTTTCCGTGGTAAGTTTAATATCGTTTCCTTCAATGAGGGTAAATAAATTTGCTTTAAATCCCGCAGGGTCTTAAAAACTGGTTATTTGGTATGCAGCAATAGGTGAGAAAAATGTTGGGTTTTTTTCTAAAAAGATATTAAAATAATTTATTCACAATATAGGTAAGTAATAATCCAAATGCAGCGAGGTGAGAAAAATCTGCATCTCTTGGGAGCTTCTAAACCTGAAGCAAAAAAAAAAAAAAAGCCCCAACAAACTCAAATACTTGTATACTCAAAGTATTAGCTGAGCCAGGTACTGAGCAGGCAAATGAAGCCAATTTACGCTGATGTACCAGCCTGGAACAAACTTGAGAGGAAACCTAAGGATTTAACCATTCCAAACAGTTTAACTTTGTTCTTTTCTCCACCTCGGTACTCTGCCTACGTTGCTGTACCGTGCTGGCGACAGGCCCTCTCCTTTGGTAGGCAGGTGCACGGAGGGTCCCTTCTCTTCTGGCGGGGAGGGAAGCCCATATTTATGTCTTCTACAGCAAAGTATTTTCCATTCAAACAATATCTCAGGAGGTTATTCCAGCTGGATGTTTTTAAATCAGCAGGTCAGGCATGCTAGAGTTTTAGAGAGCTGGAGGAGAATTTTGCACCTTGAAGAGGCATTTTTAATAGTGTTCAGTAATCTGCTAAATTCTGATCTGGGTCTTGTTTGTCTGGCAGTGCTGTGCTCTCAGGAGAACTTACATACCCAGGTACCGTCCCTCCACATCCGAGCTTTTAAATTCCCAGCTTTTAAATTCTTTTAAATTTGGGGAGCAGGCAGAATCATAGAATCGTTCAGGTTGGAAAAGACCTTTAAAATCTTAGAGTCCAGCCGTTAACCCAGCGCTGCCAAGGCCACCACTAAACCATGTCCCTAAGCACCACATCTCCCCAGCTCTTAATACCTCCAGGGATGGGGACTCAGCCCCTGCCCTGGGCAGCCAGGGCCAGGGCCCTCCCGACTAAACCATGTCCCTAAGCACCACATCTCCCCAGCTCTTAATACCTCCAGGGATGGGGACTCAGCCCCTGCCCTGGGCAGCCTGGGCCAGGGCCTGACAGCCCTTTCGCTGAAGAAATTTTTCCCAATATCCAACCTAAGCCTCCCCTGGCTCAGCTTGAGGCCGTTCCCTCTTGTCCCATCGCTTGTTAATGGGGAGAAGAGACCGACCCCCCCCGGCTCCAGCCTCTTTTCAGGCAGTTGCAGAGAGCGATGAGGGCTCCCCTCAGCCTCCTCTTCTCCAGACTAAACAACCCCAGCTCCCTCAGTCGCTCTTCATAAGACTTGTGCTCCAGACCCTGCCCCAGCCTCATTGCTCTGGACATGATCCAGCACCTCAATCCTATCAATCTAAACTTGCATTTCCAATGTAAATCTCATGGTGGACTTGAAGCTGTGTTTGATGAAAGGTGGCAGTAGAATTAATCACCTCATTTCCGGCAAAATGTGTTCTGGAGGGGGATCTTGAGAGGAGGATGGCAGCTGCACACAACGGGAAATGTGTAGGAACTCAGCACCAGCAGAGGTGCTATTTGTGCCTTTTAAAACTCTGAATTCCTTGTATAGACGGCCAGGGAGATGATTTGGTGACCTTCTGTTCCACTCCGTCAGCCGAAGCGCATTCTGAAGATGGGAGTATCCGAGCTGTGTCTGAAGCCGTGGGGCTCTACGGGCGTTTTCTGAGCAGGTTCTTGTGCCCGTTCTGGCTTCGGCCCTGTTCACAGCCGGGCCCTTCCTCCAGCGCCGCTTCTCTGCCGAGCAGCAGCAGCAGCAGCAGAGCTCCCTGCAGGATCTGCAGGCAGTGCCCCTGCCTGCTGTCTGCCTGCAGCGCCGTGCGTTAGGTAGCGCATAAAATCGATTTTTGTCCTCTTCTTCTTATTAAAACAGATGTCTTTATGGTAACGCAGCTCTCCAGCTCAGATTTACAAACAGCTTTAAAGGTTTCCAAGTAACTCGCTCTTATTCAGTAACTTCTCTTGTCGTGAGTTATGGCCGATTTTTCCCTTTCCTTAAAAGCAGCTCAGCCTCACTTGGTTATAACAAACTCCTGGCCAGGTAGAAGCAATAAATCGTTTGATAGCTTCAGAACCGCTTCGGGTCAGCATTCACACGTCAGATTTTTGGAAGCCTCAGAATGAGACATGAAGCAAACACAAAAGTTGTGTGAAAATGAGGCAGAACAAGATGTGGAGAGCACGCGTGCCTGAGTGACCGAACAAGCTCCACGTTGGTCTCTCCTGCTTACTTAAAGGAGAGATCCTTCTGCTGCGCCTGGCATTTGTGCTGTTTGTGCTGCCTTCCAGAGCCGCGGAATCGCCGGGCGGGTTCCTCTGCATCCCGGGGTGAAAGCTGAGGGCAGAAAGCTGCAGTGAGAGGTGGGTGTCCAGGAATACAGCGACAGCGTGGCGTTGGCCGAAGACATTACGCATCTGTGTTCTCCCAGGCAGCACGGAGATGAGCAGTCAGATCCCTGTGGGGAAACTTGGTGTTTCTTGAAATACCGATGCTGAGATCCTTTTGCTCGGTGCGGTATTGCAGCTGATGCCGCAAACATAATTGCAGATGGCCTACTAAGGAGAACACGGTTTTTCCAATTAGTATTTTTGGCCTTTGAAAAGGCTGCTAACTAGAGATCTGGGCAGCGTAAAAGCAGTAATTTGACTGCGCCCCCTGCTACCTGTGCTTTTAAAGCTGGGCTGCTATTTACTTTTTAAATTGACTTTTTTGTCCTTTGCTTCTGAAAGAAAGTTGCACACAAAGAATGTGATAAATGCAGGATGCGTAAAGTTCTGTCGAATGTGCTGCGTGAATGCACTGGAAGATAGAAATTCCTCAGGCTGTCTGTAGTCACTGCTGCAGGTAACAGAAGAGAGAAAGTACTCGGCCGAGCGCGTGGTAATTTTTTTAACACGCAAATAGCTCCTTAAGGGGTAAAATCCATTTCCACTTTCACTGGTGCAGTCTGTAGGATAAATCTGTATGATGCATTGTGGAAAAGGCCCAAAGGATTTCTCTCATGACGTTTACTGTCAGTCTCTACCTAGTTAGGTGCTGTAAATCCAGTTGCACCAAAAAGTTCAGGCTATGGAATAAATAAGTTAAAGCAGAGAGCAATTTATAGAACCCCAGCATTGAGATGCTTGACTCTGTAACGACAGAGCACTTTGTGACTGTGCACTGAATTCAGTGCTCAGGCAGTGACTGACCAGAACTAATCTAAGTCAAATGTTTCCCCCTTTGGCCAAAAAGATTTTTAAACATGCTCTCAACCAACTCAACAATAATAAAACATTGAAAGAAACCTCTTGTAACATCCTATAGTCTATTGTTTGTTCTGAGTGTGTCAGTCTGTTCCAAAATACTTCTCTCCGAAGTGCATTGGTGCAACAGGATGAACTTCTGTGGTTAAAATCGTGATCTCTGGGAATTCCTGGGTGATGGATTTGGCACCTTTTGAGAGAGGGCAAAGACCTTGACTCACCGTGCGGTGTGGAGAATAGGCTCAGCAGGATAATGACACTGGGTTGTACGCCATGTTCTACAAGAACTTTGACAGCCTCGATGACAGTATTACCAGTACCTAAAAGGGGAAAAAGGGAGATTTTTTTTCCCCCCCCGGTTGAAGAACTTGTCCCAGGCCACCCGAGAATGTCTGTGTTAACACTGGTGTGTGACTGAATGGTGATGCTGTCCTTTCCCACTGGAAAACTGTCACCACTGCAGGCATGAGTTGTACAAAACTTTGGTCTCCTGATGAAGGAACTTCATCTCTACTCTGACACAGCCAACTCTGCCAGCTTTTAAGCACTGAAGTCGGTGGATTTTATTAAAGCCCCGAGGCAAGAAAGCTCATCTGAAATAGTACAATGGCAATTAAGAGCTCCATGTGTAGAACCAGCATTAAATCTTAGACTGGAAAAGTTACTTCATCCTGACAAACTCCTTACCACGCTTACCAGATTTATTTTTGGTTTTTGGTAGCATTAACTGTATTTAATTTTAAAATAATTTACTTCTAGGATTGTAATATTAATCCCAAAATGTCTTTTAGTAGCATGAGAAAAATACCGTTTGAGTCTCTTCTCATGGCAAAATTTAAAAAATTAGATTTATATCAAGTGTGAATGCTTCAGCCTTTCTCACCAACGCAGGCATGCCCGAATGATTTGCTCTGCGTTCGTGGTGGCGCAGGCCGACTAATACGCGTTCTGGCACAGCCCGATAAATTCCCTACTGTGTCACCTAGACCAAGCAAAAAACCTGAGCAAAGCCCCTGAACGGTGGCCATTGTCCTTTAAACTCAGCGCCGAGCTCACTGTTCAGATGAGTCTAGCGGTACACACTGATGAAAGGCACTTACTTAGTATTGGGTACATCAGAAGAACTTTTCTCCTGTAAATGTCGGGTGGAAACTTAGCGTAGTACACTTTCGCTCTTTGAGTCTCCTCGTCGCTCTGTATCAGGATTTTTCCTATGCGGATTGATCTACAGCAGTCTCGTAAGCCTTGTTCCATTGCCTCTCCTCAAAATGAGCAGCAAAAAAACCCAACAACGCATTGTTACACGCTAAGAAACGGCACAAGTGCAAGATGCTACGATTAAATAGGCAGTCCCAATACTGGCAAAGAGTTTCAAAAAGAAGATCGTTTTTTCCTCGGTTCTGCCTGTTAAAAACACTTGAAGCTATTTTCCTTTTTTCCCTGCTTAGACAGAAAAACCGGTCTCCTTGGCGTTACTTAGCTCCTGGGTGTTGGTGTCCCCGCACACCAGTGCTGAGCTCTCAAAGGCGAGAGCTGGAAACGTCAAAACAAAGGTTTGGGGTTTGGAGAACGTCTTTGAGCTCTGCCCAGAGACACCACGGTGCAAAATGTCGTGCGGGAAGCTGCGGAGCCACTGGATTTCACCTCCCAGATACAAAGGCTCCCGCAGCGTTGGGCAGAATGGCAGTGAGTGCCCGCCC